TTGTCTTCACAACCGTTCACTACACATTCCCCTTCTGATGAAATATCAACACAACAAGTATTGGAAACTGGTTTCCATTTCTTGAACAATTGTCCACTTATGAGGTCATAGACAATCACAAAATTTGGTGCAGGATCATCTACTTCCTGTGAAACAACAAACAGACAGCTTCAGTGGTTAGGTAAATCTAATGTCAGCATGTAATTGGCCTAATGGTTGTCAAAAGGAAGGCTAAAATAGCATTTTTCAGCCAAAATATTCACTGAAACAGGAGAATTGGAATATAATATTATAGAATTATAATGAACAAACTGATGCCTTTTCAAGAATACCATGTTTATTGTGACTGACAAAATAGACTGTTATAACCGTAAAAGTGTTGATAAAATACTTTAATGCTCATTTTTTTCAAAAATCACTAGTTCATCGTCTTAAAAACAATCATGCTAGTTTTTCACTGGTTTCCAAATTATTGCCAAAAGATGATACTTAATCATTCAAAAAACAATTCTTCATTGGCAATATTCTAAAATGCACGGATACTGTTGACTGTACCACGCAACATTCTGATTGGTTTATAATTGACTTATGTCAAAGGATGCAGTATCACTTCAACTCATGCAAGAAAAAAAACATTGCAGATATCTTTTTACATTAAGTACGTGCATGTGACCAAAAACATTCACACAAGATGAAACTTTGCTGACAACTTTAAGTTTAATCATAATCATGACAGAGTAAAATTAAACAATAGTAACATTTCAAAAACAGGTTATTTGCATGTGAAATGGTATGATCAGACTGATGTGCATGTATGTTTTCATTGTAATTTGCTCTAATTTGTAGTGACCAACAAAATAAAAACAACACATAGCATATTAAAATGGCCCAGTATTTTTTTTATCATGTGGAAATACTTTTTTTACATTTTTTGGACTGTAAAATGTTATCTGTTTATGACAGCTATATTCAAATATGCCTGATGTCTAAATTAGAATACATATGGTCCATTAAAACAAACAGGCCAACAGTTTTCTTACCTTGATTACAGACACCACATAATTCCCGTCCTTACTAATGGCAGACATCTTGGTTTTAAACTCATGCTGTGCAATCCGGAAATCATGAAGCAGTTTTCTTGCATTCAAATCCCAGACAAGCAATGGGCTTGGTTTCTGTGTTTCGTCACCACATACACATCTTTCTCCATTCTCACTCACAAGCAGACTGTTCAGAAATCGATCCTCCCCAACTTTAAAGGTGGATTCCACCTCGCCACTACTCACGTTGATGATGTTCAAATACATTCGATTACGTGCCAAAGCAACAACATGATCCCGATCTTGAATACCGTAGTATGGCATCTGAAGATTCATGATTCCTTTCAAAGTGGTTTCCAGGGTGCCCGTATCCAAGTTGAAGATTTTTAACGCTCTGTTGCACAGAATAACACATCTATGATCATCTATCATTCGTACATCTCTTGGCATATCTATCCCGGTTAGTGTTCGCACAGTTGTTTGATTCTCTATATTCCAAACTTTCACCTCACCTTTCAAGGTTGCTATGGAAACCATGTGAGTCATGTCTCCTTTGATGCGGTAGAATCCATTGAGGATCTTGTTTGCATCCTTTCTGGTATCCAAGGTGACTTCATCCACTTCATCATCATCACCTTCATCTAACTGCACCAAGCAGTCTCCAGAGGGCAGGAAATTTGTTATCGGTGGATTTTGAGCTTGATTCACAATTTGGGACAACTTAGGATACAGGGAGGCATCTTTTCCATCCAAGTAACTGCGGAGCCGAGTGTGAATCTGGGAAAAAACTTGGTTGCCATCGCAGTATAGAGCATACGCAGATAACTGAACAACTTTCTGGAACATTTCCAAGTCAGTATTGTCAGGTTCGGCTGTCCTAGCTAGCGCAATGTCATCAAGAAGTTGAAACACATCAGATCCATCTAGTTTACTACAAACCCAGGAAATATCCCAGATATAATTTTTCATGAATTTGCTATCTCCGCTATGAAAGACATGAAAAGGAAGCTCCTCAAGCTTCCTTGTATTGTACACTTTGTCAAACTTGAGTGGTTGAGGCTGTACATGACGATCCATGCTCACTTCAACTCCTTTCCCTCTGGGACATGGCTTCTTGTCCCCAGCCCATTTCCCTTGGAAATAATTAGCTAAAAATTGGTGTACTTTCTTTTTCTGAGACTCTGAAGCAAGATAGCGTTGCATGACAGCATCTCGGATAACCCTATGTGACCAAGTTCTTAACAAATGCCCATTAACAAGATGCTCATTTAGAAAAGGAGCCAGCTCCTTTCGCAGTTTGGTCCATATAATTGCAGGTGCTCGTCGAATGGACAATTGTCGATGGGTGCAATACTCATCCAAAACTGTTTCATCACAGGATATCAAATCAAGCATTTCTGAATCTGAAAGACCATGTTTAGATGCTGTTAGATAACTCAACATATTCTGCACAGCATTCACACCCTGACATTTCTCTAAAAGTGTGAGGAAGGAGTTGATTTGATCTTTGATGTTGTTGCTAAGCACTGTCTCATTGCTGATGTTGTAACTATGCCAACGGGATGCCATGTGACTGGCTAGCTGCACATACAGTGGTAGGGGGCAATTGTTTATAGCATCCTGAAGAACTTTAGATTGACCATCGGACAACTTTCTTGTTTTTGATTTCAGTATATTTTGTGATAATCCACCGACTTCGGATGAAGTCATCTTTGGTACTTCTAGAAAACATGAAGGTTGGTTCAGGTGTGACTGCACAAGAAAAGAAAAATAATATATTTCAGATAACCTTAAAGACATGGTATTCTGGAATTCAGTTATGATGTTTTGAGACCCAAATATATTTATGCAAACATTATCGAAATTGTAATTCTTTAAAATGGCATTTATATCAGGTGTGGTTTTAGAAGATTAATGATAAAGGGGGGGGGGGGAAGATAAGCTTTAAGTGGTTCCCTTCAAATCATGTCAGCTGACTTCTCAATAAATAATATGTAATCAAATATAACAGGGAGCTGCCCTCTATGTTATCCAAAATAAAATATGGCAACTTTCTTAGTTCTTGGGGAAGGTTAGTCAAATAGTCATTTCTCAAAAAATAACTACATCATATAACTGCTTGATACATGTTAATAAAATATTTCTGCACAAAAATCTTTATCAAAATTGAATAAAAAAAATAAAATACGAAAAAATTAATCATACTCCCCTCCCCACATGAACAAATACACAGTACCTTAAGAGAGGAAAAGCCGGGAAAGTTGTCACTAGAAGTAGACAATATCATTTTGACATGGGGAGGTAAGGTTGGTGGAATCCAATCAGACTCATCATAGTCTCCCCTCACAAGTTCATCAATACCATCAATAATGATCACCAGAGGGCGCTTTGCCTGCACTTTTTTCAAAAGCAGTGGCAACTCTTTTCTAATTCTGCCAACTCCCTAGAGAGAAAGGAAAATATTCAACATGTTGGCATGAAAGAAAACAAAAAAGCTAAACTTGTCGATGAGTTAATTGAAGGGTGTTCATTAATTTTTTTGAATAAGAAAGACGTAAAACCCTGAGAAGTGAGACAAAGTTGTGACATGCTCTCGTACATACATGTATCACAGCATATATTGACGT